AGTACAGCGAAGCCTTCGGAAATGAATGCACGATAAAGAAATAAACTTCTTAAAAGCTAAACTTCCCGTGCGCTGAAAGGTAAAATGCAGTTTGAAAATCAGCCTAATAAAAGAATCGGCTCATTAAAATGAAGAGGGTTTTTTTTTTTCCTTTTTTTTTTTTTTTTCCCCAGTGTGTTCCAGCACAGTTCAGAAATTAGCTCCATGGAAGACAAAATCTAAAAGCTCATCAAAATGTCCCTTGACATGGTGACACCTCCATCGTGCTGGAAATGCCTTGGCCTTGAGAGCAAAAGCCACATCCCCCAGGTCCCTGCTCAGCGCAAAGGATAACGGATAAATTGGGATTTTTCCTGGCATTAGAAGCCACAACCATGTTCCTCCTCGGGGTGTTACGGGGTGCCAGGGGGGGTTGGGCTGTGGGGAGGTGGGGGGTGGCTGCTGGGACCCCGGGAGCAGGGGGGTGCTCGGGGGCGGGGGCCCAGGCGGCCCCTCTCCCCCCCCCCCGCCCCCCCGAAACCTCTGGCAGGGAAACCACATCCAATTGTGTTGACCAAACCGTGTCATCCCAGCGTCTTCTCACAAACAACATCGACAATAATGAAAAAAAGGCACAAGTGGAAAACTACAGAGCCTCTTCTTTTGCCATTTCTCCCCTGAAAAATTTGGCACGGGGGGATTTTGAAGCCAGATGTCCCTTGAAATCTCTTTTCAGCAGAGACAATTCCCTCCCTCCCAAACACTGCTGCCCTTCTCCTCAATGCACCTTTGCAAAACAGAATTCATTTGTTTTCATTAACTTCTTATCAAGTTACCTGGATTTGTTTCAATACTCAGAATGTATTAGAGAGAGGGAGAGAGAAAACAGTGGTAGGTTTTCAGGAAATAGCAAGTTCTTTTTCACTGAGATAGAAATCATTTGGCAAGCCACAGTGAAATACTTCTAAGTTCCAGAAGAAAGCAAGGGGGGAAAAAGCAAGCAAGGAAAAGGAAGATGGTAATGAACTGCAGTGGAGAGAAAAATGAAGTTTAAAAGAAAATGGAAAAAAAAAAAGAACAAAATGCAACTCAGTGTTGGTCATACATCCACATCCAGCTGATCCATAGAGGGAAACTGCAGCTTGTCTTTAAGTCACTAGATAAGGACCTGCCCTCCGTTCTTGGGGAATGGTCAAGGATAGGTGGCGTTAAAGTCCCAGAAATAACCAGCATTTAGACCTTTTTTTGCCAATAAAACCCCAGGCACCAGGTTAGCAAAAAAATTAGGGGCACGCTTCCCTTCTGCCTTAGTAAGCCAAGAGCCCAGCAGGTATCCGTGTTGGTATAAATAGCAATAAACATGCCTAACTTCAGCACACACTTAAGTGCTGTCTTCTTAAGTGGCAGTAACCGTGCTGAAGTTGTGCTAGACCCCTTCATTTGCTGCTCCAAAATCTCTGAACACATCAAAAACCCCTGGGTTTGCTTTAATTCCTGTCCTGCAGCTGAGTGTTAGACCAACACAATGAAGAATCAGGTCCCACATAGGTGGGGATGAGGTGCCACCAGTCCCAGGGGCAGCTGGGACAGGGTAAATACCGAAATGTTCATCCCAGGAGAGCCCAGCATCTCGGCAGCCACCTCCCAGCAAAGCTCTAAGGACCAGCCCCACAGGAGCACACACCTGGGCTGATGTGTATTTTCCAGCTCGAAGCACATCTGAGCAGCGAGGCTGAGCTGTTCCGTATTCTCAGGCCTGGAGTGCTCACTCAGGTTCTTTCCTAGAGAAGGAAAGGGGGATTTTTATTTAATTTTTTTTTTTTTGCTCTTTTTTCTTTCTTTGCATTTTCTCAGAACCAAGGCTGCATTCTAATTAGTTTGCATTTACAGGCTGCATAATGGAAACACGATCCCTCCTCTAACCTTTATCATCTGTTTCTTATCTTCAGGCCTGCACAGTCTCCTTAACTCTTAGCGCACGGGGAGATGTTGAAAAAACTCTTCTGCTCTAAGGAGAGATGCAGTGAAATGGGGAGGAGGAAGAGGCTGCAGCCTCAACCCACACGTGTGTTGTGGGGGGAGCGGGGACAAGGGTCTCTCCTCCCACCCCTATTTCTGCTGGCACAACGTCCCCAGGAGATCATAGAATCATGGAATGGTTTGGGACAGAAGAGACCTTAAAGACCATCTAGTCCAAACCCCTGCCCTGGGCAGGGACACCTCCCACCAGACCAGGTTGCTCCAAGCCCCCTCCAACCTGCCCTTGAACCCCTCCAGGGATGGGGCAGCCACAGCTTCTCTGGGCAACCTGGGCCAGGCTCTCACCATCCTCACTCCAAAGAAGTTCTCCCCCACATCTCAGGTCCATCTCTTCGCTTTCAGTTTGAAGCCATCACCCCTCATCCTATATGGACATCCTATATGCCTTTGCAAAAAGTCCCTCTCCAGCTTTCCTGTAGCCCCCTTTAGATACTACTACAAGGTCTCCCCAGAGGCTTCTCTTCTCCAGGATGAACCCCCCATCTCTCTCAGCCTGTCCCCACAGCAGAGGGGCTCCAGCCCTCCCAGCATCTCTGTGGCCTCCTCTGGACATATTCCAACAGCTCCATGTCCTTCCTGTGCTGAGGACTCCAAAGCTGGACACAGGACTCCAGGTGGGGGTCCCACCAGAGCGGAGCTGAGGGGCAGAACCCCCTCCCTTGCCCTGCTGGCCATGCTGTGGGGGATGCAGCCCTGGAGAGGTGGGAAGGTGCTGGCTTCCTCCACAGGCACGGCAGCACCTCCCTCTCTCAGCATCTCTCCCCAGGGACCACCAGCAATGGGACAGTGAGATGCACCTTGGGGGATGCTTCTGGATGGTGGAGCAGGAACAGAAGGTGACTGTGGGCACCCTCTATCAGGGATGCTTTGAGTTAATCTCTGTTCTGCCCAGCCCTTTGCCCCAGGGGCTACAGCATCGCACAGAAGCAGGGACAGGCAGCAGGATGGAGCCCACAAAGATGCTCCATCACTCCCTTTGCCGTTGGTGACACTGATCCGGCCACGGCCAACAGCAGCACTCCCTGAGCAGTTTGGCAAGTGAGGAGCGTTTCTGCTGAGCTAAAAGTTTAATCGTTTGTTTAGATCTTAAATAAGCCATACGCCTGAAAAAAACCCAACATCTTTCTGCAGCAAGTGTCTTCGGTCAGACGCTTGTATATATAGCCCCTCCGAGCCGCACGTTAATTGTAGGTTGCTATAAAAAAAGTTTTTTCCCCTTGCACATTTTAAATCTGTCAGTTTTGATTTCCATCACATGCTCCTAATGCGAAACGTCCTGGGGACTCTCCCAGCCTGAAGCAGGGCTCATCCCGAGCCGTTCCTCCTGCCCTGGGAGGGGAGGAACCTCCTTTGAAGTCCTCCCCGTGATTCATGTCCCAGTCCTTCCTGTCCCCTCCCCAGGAGAGGTTCCCGGGGCTGACCTGACCTCCTCTCCTCTCCTTTCCTCTTCTCTCCTCTCTGCCTCCCCAGCTTGGGCAGAGAAGATCGAGTGACCTTCCGAAATCCCAGGTCAAGGAGGAAAGAGGAAAGGAGGAAAGCCCCCTTTGGCAACGAGGGGACCCAGGTCTTCCAGTTTTACACCAGAACTGGGCTGAATTTAAACGCACGGGAAGACAACCTGTTTCAGCCTCACAAATACTCTGTTGGCTTTTTCTTTTTTCATCTGGGAGAGGTCTACTAGGAACTTTTTCAGGCCTCAGTTCAGGGGCTTTCATCAGTGATGACGGTGGTGAGACAAACAAAAGCCTTATTCGTTGGCATCCGCAAATTTCCACGCTGCATCTTGCTTTGATAATAGAAAAGTGCCAGCTGGATTTTTTTTTTTTTTTTTACTGTTTCTCTTTCTTCTTTCTTTTTTTTTTTTTTTTAAACAGTCTGTATTGCTTTTTAAACCATTATCCTGTGCACGTGGTTCAGCCTTTTACAAAAACAAAACAAAACAAAAAATCCCTAGGTGTGAGAAGATTAAAGATTTTGAGATCTGGACATTTTCAAATCAGAAACACATGTTTAAAATAAATCGGGCTGGCAGACAGCCACCACTCCTGAGAGCCAAAGAGCTGTTGCATTAAAAGGATGCCCCGAAAGCCTGAAGAGAACAAGAGCATCAGCGGCTCCCTCCACCCCACTGGCAGAGCCAGGGCCAGGACAACTGCAGAGAGTTTTATTATATATCTCCATGGTCTGTGCTCTCTCCTACCCAGATGAACATCCCAACTGTTTTTCCCCCAGCCCTAGTGATTTCTGTGTGCACACACTCCATCCATCCATCCCCCAAACTTCAGCACGCTCAGTCTCCTCTGAGAAGACCTCACAGCCCAACCTCTTTCCCTTATGGCCCAGACCAGCTTCCATCAAGATCTCTAGGGGAAATAGCAAGGACAAAAGCTGCAAAAGCCCCACTCTCACCTGAATTCATCAGGGAAGCAGGACAATGACCCTGCAAAGGCCAATGGAATGGCCAAAGCTCCTTTTGCTCCCATGAATGAGGAACACGTGCCTGCAGGAACATCAGGAAGAAGTAGCTCAAGCCAAAGAAGAACACTGCTGGACTCAAGTCTCTCAGCTCAGCCAGGGAGCTGCAAAGAGGCAGGAGGAGATGGTTACACGCTGCCTCTTCTACCCCTTCCCAGCTGCTTTCTGCCTGCAACATCTGAGGTGCACATCAGGGCTCAGACTAGCTCATCTCTCAGCTAAGACCCAGACCACAAAAACGTACACACTAAACCAACAAGATCTCCAGTCCAGTCCTTGATTTAGGTCAAATATATATCATCTCACCATCAGCAACTGCTGTACAGTACCGGGGACCCTGAGCCACCTTGAATTTTGCGGGTGTGTGTGCTGAGCAGAACCTGGCACAGCTGAAATGCCTGCCCAAGAGGGTCTGTCACAGCTGGGATGGAGCTGCAAACTGCCAGAGCATCCAAAACATCCAAGTTTCTTCCTACATGACCAGGTAGATGCATTTAAAACCAACAGGAGAACATCCCAGAAAGGGTACCAGGCACTTTGCTCACCACCATCCGATCTTCTCACTCCTGACATTTTCCTGGTTATCAGCAGGAGAACCATCTAGAGCAGGACCCTGGGTTTTGGAGACCTAAGGGGTGAGGAACAAAAAAGAATGAACACAATTACCTTGCCGTGATGCTCAGAACCTGCTTTACACGGAATAATATTCTTCGTCCTCCAGTTGTTTATAGGGTCTTTAACTCTTCCCTTTTTATAGGGGGGGTCTGAAATCTATTTTATTAGGGGAAAAAGATTTGAGTGTATTAGGCAAAGTGCCAGTAGCCATGGTAACCGCGGATTTTTCCATCTTCATTACAAGTTCAAGTAAAACCTTCATATAAAATCTAAATGAAAGGGTACATTATAAGTCCATTTTGAAATGTTTGCCTGGAAGTAAAACTTTGGACTGCATCCTTTTTTCTCCGCTGAACATTCTGGTTCTATGCGGAACACATTTTTCAAGTCAGATTTTTGTTTTCTTTCAAATTTTATTCCGTTTGCTCATACAGGGTGGGTCGTCTAGTGGTTAGAGCAAGGCATCAAGGCAACTGGTTTCCAGTCTCAGTCTGTTCCTGATCGGTCAGGGAGTGTTCCCAATTTTATCCAGGTGACTTGGGCAAATCCTGTCAGCTCTAAAAAGCTTTTTTTTTTTTTCCCCTTCCTTACCAATGTAACAATGATGATAATTCCTGTCCTGAGATTGCCCCAGGATTCTCTCTTCAGCGTTGAGAAAGAAGTCGCTTCCCAGAAGAGCAGCTCTTCTCTTCCACTGCATTTTCTCCTGGGTCTGGAAGCCAGACTGAAAGGTTAAGGAGAGGTAGCGGTTAGAGGATGGCATGAATTGTCTGTTTTCTTTTCAAAGACTTGATTAGGAAATATGAAATTAGACCACCTGGTGTAGATACTGACACAATGTTGTTCCAGGAGATGCTCAACATACTTAGACAATCCCTTGGTGCCAGCGGAGCGGATTAATTCTTGCACTGTCTCATCTTAAAAGTGCTCTGGTTTCATCCAGTCTCGGGAGGAGGCAAATTCTGCAGCTGCCTTTCATTTCTGGGCACCATCTCACCTGGGGCCAGAAAGCCACAATCATTGTGAAGACTTCCTTCTCAAACAGTCCCCTCCACTGTAGAGAGCCCAGCAGCTTCTCCAAGGCTGAATCAGAAGGAGAAATCTCCTCTATAACCTCTGCCCAGTCCGTGCAGTGCAGCCCACCCCTGTGGAGCACCTGGTACTTTGATTTTCCCTGGGAAACACCTTGAGACCTTCTCCATGGCCTGTTCTCAAGGTTACAGAAACCTACGGGCTGATGCAGTGTTGGGAAGGAGAATTTGTAGAAAAGCTCTGAACTAATCCGCTTGTATTTCAGCCCATAGTTGGGTATCATTAATGACCAGAGCTGGTGTGCCATGGCTGCAGTGCCTTTTGCCTGTGCGTGGGCTGAGGGTGAGTCAAACTGGCATTTCCAGTACCAAAAGGGGCTCCAGGAAAGCTGGGGAGGGACTCTGGATCAGGGAGGGGAGCCATAGGAGGAGGGGGAAGGGTTTGACCCTGAAAGAGGGGAGATGGAGCTGAGATGTGGGGAAGAACTTGTTTGGTGTGAGGGTGGTGAGAGCCTGGCCCAGGTTGCCCAGAGAAGCTGTGGCTGCCCCATCCCTGGAGGGGTTCAAGGGCAGGTTGGAGGGGGCTTGGAGCAACCTGGGCTGGTGGGAGGTGTCCCTGCCCAGGGCAGGGGGTAGAACAAGATGATCTTTAAGATCTCTTCTGACTCTAACTGTTCTGTCATGGTGGCACTGGATGATCTTTAAGATCCCTTCTGACTCTAACAGTTCTGTGACCCCACGCATTACAGAGGGCGCAGCATCTGTTCATGGTGGGGCAACTTCTACCCTAAAGGACCACCACGTGTGGCTCAGAGGGGCTGGAGGACACTGGCAGGGAGGCCAGTGGCAGAGGCGAGGTGGCACTCCATGCTACGTGCCAGGAGCTGCAGATGGGGCAAAAGTGAGCAGATGGGACAAAAGCGAGCCCACGCAGCCATCCCTTGGTCACCCCTCGCTGGGCAGGGACAGGAGAAAACCTTTAGAGCTTTTCATTCTTTCTAATGACACTGGCAAAACCTTTTCCACATCTGCCATTAGAGTGAAAGGAGACCCTGCTCCTGTTGAATCTGATTTCCCTTCTGCTCTGTTACAGTTAAAACTACAACCTGCTGCCTCCTGGCCGGGCACGTTTTGGGACGGGGAGGAGGGGGGTTACAAACGGTGAAGGGTTTTTTTTTTTTTCTTTTTCTTTTTTCGATACATCCTTCCTTCCGCTCTTCGCAATCAATTAGTGGGCAAAGACTTCCGAAAAGCTCTTTCCTCCCTAACCTTTCGCAGCCTGTTGCGATAATGACTCTGGAGAGCTCGACCTGGGCCTTTGCGTGGGGTTCGTTACCTTCCCGGGGCAGCGGAAGGTGACCTTCATCCCTCCCTCCTCTTCCTTTCCTACCCCTGCAGTTCGGATGGTCTCAGGGAGGAGGAGGAGGAGGGGTTGAAGCTGCCTCACTCCCAGCAGATTGAGTTTCTCTCCAGTGTCATTTTTGCAATCAAAAGCCAGAGGGTGGTTCCAGAGATAAAATAGACCCTGGGAGGTGGAAGGGGGTTGCCCTTAAAAATAATGATTCTGATTTTGCATACCTTGAATCAAGACATCAAGAGACGCGGGGAAAAGGGGCTTTCTGGTTTTAATTTGTCATTTCTTTCTCTCTCCCTCTCTCACGAGGCATGTTGCTTTCCAGCAACCACACTCCGAGCTGCTGCAGCTTCACACACACCCCCCCAAAAAACACAGTTACAGCTGAAGGGATTCACTTTGCCAGCAGCAACGGGGGTTTTTTTTTTCGGTCCCTCCATGATGCAAACACACAGGTAGGACGTACTCACCCAAGTTTTCCCTGGCACCTGCAGCTGCTTTCACAGCCCGTCTGCCCGGGGAGGGGGCACTGGGGATTTTTCAAGCAACACCTCCTACAAAAGCATCATCCCTGCTCCACAGGGCAGCTTTGTGCTGGCTCCCAGGCACGTGGGGGAAAGGATGGGAAGGAGCGTGGATGTGTTCTGAGACAAAGCACATCCCACTCAGCACCCACAAGCTCTTCCCCACAGCCCTGACAATATTCCCCAAATCTGGCCATTCCCTCTCCCAGTGCACCACCATCACAATATTCCCCTCCCCGGAGCTGCCATCCCGCTGTGCCAGGGGTGACACTGCCGTGGTTTACTGACTCACATCACTGTCCCCAAAAAGGAAGCTTCCCGGCTAATTTTTCCTCCTGTCACTTGGCAGGATAAATGAGGGAGCCACCTCCACGGCAGCACCGCTGCCCACGGAGCAGCTGCACGTGGGGATGTATAGCAAACGCAGGAAAAAAATAGAAAAAAAAATAGAAAAGAAAAAAGAAAAATAGAAAAAAATAGGAAAAAAAATAGAAAAAAAAAAAAAGAAAAAAAAATAAAAAAAAATAGAAAAAAATAGAAAAAAAAAAGAAAAAAAAATAGAAAAAAAAAATAGAAAAAAAATAGCTGCTAAAAGCCGTGATTGGGACCAGGCAACCCACTAAAAGCAACGCTTTAAACACATCATCCCAACACAGTCACAGCTGCAGCCATGAAGTCCCTTCTTCAAATACAAAGTGACCCTCTCCTGGGGGAAAAAAGTGTATTTTTTTTAAGTAACTGCCAAACTCAGGTGATGTGGGAGAGGCTGTTCTCCCTGAGCATCACCTGTACCAGGAGGGTGCGAGCAGCCACCGCAGCTGAAGCTCCTCCAAGAGCTGGGCTTCACCCCGTTTGCCCCCACGGGACACGCACCCCTCGGCTGCCCACCGGGAAGGCGCCGCGGGGATCGGCCCCCGGCTCCCCCCAGCTGATGGTGTGTAATGGAAACCATCCCCTTCAGACCTTCAGAGAGCGACTGGAACCACTTTGAGGCGAGAAGCCTATTACCAAGTTATAAACCTCTCCCATCCTCCACGGGAGCCTTTCAGCCAGAAAAATAATAATAACTCAAACCCATGTGGCGAGAGGGAGAGAAGACAGTGTCTCCAGGTAACAAATATTTGCTTCTTTCGCTATTGTTCCAACCGTAAAATGGATTTATTAAAAGAATCTGGAATTTGATTTCATTTGAATTAAACGTGAATGCCCCCTCTTGCTTCACACTGGGTGTTGCTTAATATTTGTGAAGCTAGAAAGCCAGAGCAGAGTGTTCGATACAGAAGGCTCTCGAAGGCTAAAATAGCCTGGCTTCGTTGGCATCAATGGATTAGCATTGATTTACATGAAGTAAAGACTGGGCATATGGTGCGTATGTGCAGGCAGCGAGTCAGCACGAACAGGTCTTGGCACGGGCAGATTTTCTCCCCCATCAAGACACGGAGGTCCCTCAGCATCCCTCAGGGATTGCATCCCCACCGCCCTTCCGCATCGCCTCTGCAGAGAACAGCCAAACTTCTGAGGAAAAACCAAACTTCTGAGCCACTACTGTGAAATGAAGCCCTTTTTTTCCTCACCATCTCTCATTTCATAAAAATTCCCCAATATATCCCAGAAGACACTTGAAATTTGCAAAATTCCACATTTTTCTTCCTCATTTGCTCTGCTTGAACCGGCTCCACCGGCCCCTCACCCCGCTCCAGCAACACCCTTTGGAGGGATGGGATTCCCTTCTGTGTAATCAAGAGGATTATAAATCAAAATTTTTAATCACAGCTAGTCATTAATAAGCCCCTGATGGATCCATGGCCATGGATCTGCCTGAGACTGAGATAACAGCTACTGCTCAGGAGGAACTTCATAACCTTAGGACAAAAAGTCCATCACGGGTCCTTTAGGATCATTGCTTTTCTGCTGCTTCTCCCATAAAAATCTCATCTCTGGCCACCAGAAGCAGAAGAGAAAGTCAAAAGACAAGCAGAGGACACGGTTCCCACTGCTTTGCCCCCTCCCCTGCCCAAAATCTAATAAAGATGATTAAATTACATGTCTTTTCCTCCCATTGAAATCACCGCACACTGCTCGAATATTAGAGCTCAGGAAATAAGGCACGACAACTTCCCTCGTGAAACTTAAGAAGGCAGAGCAGGGGTCTGGAGAGACAGGCCTGCAAGACGGGGCTGCTCTAATTAAGAAATCACCCTGCTGAGCAGAACCTAATCTAAATAAAATAGAAAAAGGAACTTAAGTTCAAAACGCTGCCTCGCGCTCGCCCCCCTTCCCGCCAGCCCACCTCCCCCCCCCATAAGGAACCCATCCAAGTCACAGGGAGTTTTTCTCTTCTGCTCTCTCCTGGAGGGTGAGGTAGGCTCACACAGAGCCCTGTGTGTGCTTGGGGTGGCCACCTTCCAAAGGAAAAATACACCAGCCATGTACGGCAAAAAGGCTGCCTTTTTTTTTTTAATTGGTGATTTTTTTAATATTTTTTTTAAAATGATACTTGGCCTGCTGTTTGCTAAGGAGCAGGGCAAAAAAAAAAAACTCGGCTCTGATGATTACATTGTTGGTATGGCTGGTCAAAACTGGTTTGGGACAGAAAATTGGAGGTTACACTTCCCCCTCCCCTGAAAAAAGCTTCTGCCTTTCGTGGAAAAACGTTTAAAAAATTAACACTAAAAAACCTTTTTTTTTTACATTATAGAATTTAAAACCAAAAATATTTAAGCCAAAAATATCAGCTGATTTGATCATCCCCCATATCTTGTCAGAATTTCCTTATGATCCCCTTCACCCCGACAGATCAGATTCCCCACATGAGACAAATCTCCCGTGAACCAACATCCCCATCTCAAATGTGCCAAATGTGCCATCTCACTGTCCCACCAGCTCCTCAGCCTGGACCAGAGACTCCACCATCATCTGCTGCTTGTCCAGGTCTCCTCCAGCCCCATTCTCCTCTTCTTCCCACCACCCCCTTCCCTACACGCCAGCAGTTTCTCTCCCCTCTCCAGTTCAGAGTTGGTGTCCCACCATGTGCTACGGCCACCCGGGTCCACCAGCTCCTCACATTCAGGAATTTCACGAGCATGAAGTTACCATATGAATCACTATTTAAAAGCCCAGGCACAGAGAGATTTATAGCAATAAACAGAGGAGCACAGACATTCCCGTGTATGTTTTAAAAAAGCACTTACCTGCTTAAAAGGGAAAGTGCTGCTACTTGAAGGTTTCCTGGCCAGACCTGAAAAGTAAATCAAACAAACACTATTTGCATTTATTCATAATTCCCAGCAGATTGTTGTTCTAGGAGCTTTTGACTTCAGTGGAGTTAATGAGACTGGTGCCAGCAGAGGACCACGCTGCCTGAAGGTGTCTCCTGAAGACTTCAGGGATGGGACAAGACTGGAACCCCAAAACCAAACACCCCAAGTCCAAGACAGACATGGACATGCTGGCTTGATTCCAGCAGAAGACACCTAGATAGTGGAGAGCTGGGGACAGGATGTGAGAACTGAGTTAGATCAGCCTTAGAAAGGAAGGGGGTGAATCTTATTGCTGTCCTCAACTGCCTAATTTGAGAAGAGAGAGCTGGGTTTCTCTTGCACAGGACACAAGACAGGGGTCACAGAGAGCATTACCCCAAATTGTTTTCGCCATCAGGATGGTCAGACACTGCAACAGGGATCCAGAGAGGTGGTGGGATCTCCATCCTTGGAGATACTCAGACCTTGCCAGGATGTGCACTGAGCAAACCAATGCAGTTGGCCCTGCTTTGAGCAGGGTTGGACTGGAGACCTGCAGAGGTCCTTTCCAGCTGAAATTATCTGTGGCTCTGCATCTCTCTGCAAACACACACACAGCCCTCACCAGTGCTCCCAGTATCCTTCCAGCCTGCACGTGCTCCCAAGCCTCTGAAGGGGCTCAAGGTGCTCCCAGACCCTCCCGGACGTATCAGTCTCGCAATTTCTTTTCGAACAGTGAAGCCATTTCTCCATAACTGGGCTAAAGCATTAACACTCCCCTTTCAGTTCCTTTTACGACAGCCTCGGGCTACGACCAGCCAGGTTCCCCTCGCCACCCAACCCACTGCGCAGCAGCTCCCTCAACCCTCTCACAGCCCTGCCTGTTCTCCTATGGAAACAAAAAAAAAAGAAAAAAATGGTAAATAAATACGCTACAGGAGAAGAACGTTGGAGTTATCGGCCAACAGAAAACGTCAAGAGTCCTCAGGCCCACACTGCACCCACCCCACACACCAGTCATGGGTCCAACCTTCTTCAGGCAGACATTGAGGCTGATGAGAAGGAGAGCAGAGCTCTTAGTTGGTCATCTACTGTCTTTGTGTCCGTTCTTCATCCCTCTGGCTATGAATGGGGAAAAATAGGGACTGGAGTGGAGTTTTATCCCTTCTGTTATCTCTCCACTTTCCACGAGGACCAATACAGGTCCCACAGCTGCTCCTCTGACTCCCCTTCTCCCCTGTAAAACACAAAAAGGCTGTTTTAACTTTACCGGGGGTTGTAAGAATGAAACCCACTCACAAAGTATCAGGTGAGGGGTGCCCACCGGTGTAATACAGGGAAAAATAAACTCCTGCTGACGTTTGCTGTCTGGTGGGGAGGTGTTATCACCCCCCATCAGCTGCTCCCCCTGAGCACAAGTGGAAGCTGCGTTACCCAGGGATGCTGCTCTGAGGTGGCGTCAGGGTTTCTCCTGGGTGTGACACACAGAGAGGCTGCGATGCCTTGCACTGGGGAAGCAGCACCGAGCAGATAACATATTCCTGCCCTGAAGAGCTGATGGCCTGGGTAGATTTAAAGTCTGGGAGTGTGATGACAGACGATTTCTCAACTTAGAGCTGCATGCCATATTTTATCAGCTGGGGTGTCAGAGGCAGCCTTTGCATCTGCTTCTTTTTCTTTTTTTTAATAAAACCAACAGGAGGCATTCCCTAATACCTACCAACGACAAACTCAAGGGAAATTGGTTCTTTTCTCCATCTCTGACTCTTTCACTACCAATTTCTGTTCACTTCAGGCCAGATCCCTGACATTCAGCACGGCGCAGAAGCAGTGCCACTGCCTGGGACGCTTCAGTCACTGTCATTTCATTGCAGCCACGTCAGTGAATCCATCGACCCCCATCACACCAACTCTGCCCCCCTTCCCTATCCCACCATCACTGGGAGTAACCATAATTAGCACCACTCTCACTGAATAGATGGGAAACTGAGGCAGAGACACACGTTAAGTGATTTGCCGCAGGCAAAAAGCATCAGCAGAAATGGAAAATGTTTCTTTTGAACCCAAGCCCGAGTTTAACCCCCAGGCCAGGCTTTCAGAGGTCCCACAGTCACCCCTCCCTTCTGCTAATGAGGACACACGTCTCTAACCACCTTAACCTCACTCCATTTTGCACACCCAGATATAACCCAAAGTGCAGCACAAAGAGGCACCACCACTGGGTAAACACCGAGGAACACACGTCAATAGGAAAGAAAAAATACTCAAAATCTACTAGGAGATATTTTAAAATTCCTGATGCTCTTTGCAACTTAAGTTCTTCTTAACCAAAAACACACGCACAGCCCAAAACTACAACTACCAGAAACTGGGTGCTTGATATCACAGGAAAGCTTTGCACTTGCACAGTGTGTGTCACGCTCTGCTGTGTACCTGTATGTGGGTAACACAGATCTCTATTTTACATTATTGATACAGTCACTATTTTACTCTTATCCTTCATGAATTCCTGCTAAACTTCAAAGAAATCAGTCAAACCCTTTAATAAAACAGAGCGTGGCAGAGAGGAGAGCTCAGAGAAGAGGTGAAGGTGCCAGGTGACATTCAGCCACCTCCATCCCTCCCCCTGGACCACTGCAGCTCCGTGCCTCAGCCCTGCTCCAGGAGAAGACACGGTCAGAGAGAGGATCCTACTGCACTGCTAAGACCCTGTGCAGCTATACAGTCACCTTACCTTTCAACAACTTAAACTCTTGGTGGCAAAAATCTTGATTTACTTCCCATTTCAGGTTGGGGAAGGAAGGTGTTAAGAGTCTTTGCATGGGCTGAACATAGCACAGCCCGGCCAGGAACAGAGGGAGGCACGTATGCTGTACAGATACATATAAGATGTTCTTTAAGGTCCCTTCTAACCCAAACCACACACACACACACATACCTACACATCCAGGGCTTTATGTGAAGCCATTCCAAAGTCATCCTCTTTGTTTGTATCCTCTTTGTCTGAGGTGGGGATCCCAGAGCTCCTCTGCAGGCGTCCAGCCTCCACACAACAGCCTGGTGCCATCACCTGGACCACATCCCTCTGGTGCTACAGAAACCCTCGATGAACTTGCAGGGAGCCAGGCAAGCACACCAGGCGAGTGCATGGCCAAGACTCACACGCTCCTGGCCAACAAACCACCGCTCATGGTGACCACGTGGCCCAGCTCGAAGGACAAGTTGCCCCAAAGCCTCCATTCAGGACCATCTTCCCCAGGTCTCTGTCCTCGAGTGTGCCTTCTGCGATGCCAGGTCTTCTCCAGGAATCAGGGACCACCATGCAGCATCCCTTGGTGTCCCACCAGGCTGTGATGGGGACGAGCATCGAGCTGGTGGCCACCACTGGCAAGGAAATGAGGCCGGAGTGTCCTCCAATCTCATCTTTTATACCGCTTTGTTTATAAGCTGTCGGCCCGTTTGGGGAGGCAGCGAGCAGGCACACGCAGGGGATGGAAGGAGATGATGGGTTTTAGCAAGAGGCCAAGGACACCTTTTCTTAAGCTTCATTCATAGCAGTGAGCACGGTACAACAGCCCAGCAATTGTTCTCTCAAATGTCACCTTCCCATGGAGGCCACGGTGCTGACAAAAACCTCCCCTTATGGCACGCGTGGGAGGGAGCACTTTTTTATTATTATTTTG